AGCTACGGTTCAGGAACCTAACTTGGATCGAATGGACGACTAACTAAATGGCGAAGGACATACCTATGCTAAGGACACGATCTAGGTGCGAGGACCTAACTACTGTAGCCTATTCGACTGACACAAAACTAAGATGCCGAAGGACGACGAGCTATAGCGGTGTGACATTATTGGATCTGGAGAGGGCCACCGATTAAACCCGTGAAAAAAACTCTTAAAAAAAAACCTCCATGGGGAATACAGTGCAGTTGGGCGCTTGTTGACGATTAGTGGCTCGCTTCTGTGGTAAAACCCGCATACATGTTAAGGTAAATACAGTTGTTGATACTTACCATGCGGTTGGTTAAATGGTGGTAGATGTAAAGTACTGAGTGGTGGATGGCTGTAGAGAGAGAAGCCGCTGGTCTTCTTCTTGTCTGTCCTTGAGACGACTGCTGTTTGAGAGGCTGGAGAGCCGCTGGTAAGGAAATGGCGGCGTAAAGAGCAAGTCTTGGAGGCAATGGACACGAGAGCAGGCAACAAATGTTAGGCCTGTGGAGAACTCTCTCTTGCCGACATCGATGACCACCTTGTCCAGGGTGAGACCCTGAGACTTGTGGATGGTGACTGCCCATGCCAGCTTGAGGGGCAGCTGAAGACGTGAGCATGGGCCTCCTGAGGAAGACCAGGAGCGGCGAAGAGGAGTGATGGGTACTGTGCCGTCAGGGAAGGTGTGGCCGGAGTAGCTGTGAAAGCTGACCATGACAGCGATGGGCAGGTCAGGTAGTTCTCCAGTCCTGTAACAGATGGCCTTGACAGTTCCCATTGGCGAGGCCAGCATCAACCCAGAGGTTGCTGGTGAGCATAACATGGGCTGACCTGGCCAGGCAGATGACTGCCTCCAGTCCTCCTGCATTGTCAGCTGGGGCCTTGGCTGCATTGGGTCCAGTGTGAACTGCCTTGATGGTGGCAATGGGCTGGCCACTGGCCTGCAGCTGAGCCACGTTGTACTCCACCACAGCTTCGACAGTGGGGATGAGGTGGAGGGAAGTGGAGAAGGGAGAGAGATCCTGGACTCTTGTGGGAGTGCGGGTCATGAGGTGGTTCCAGTTGGCCACTGTTACCTTGGCATCTCTCAGTCTGAGGAGGACGTCTCGGAACTTGACTTGTTCTGGACCCTGGCCTGCCTGACGCATGACTTGGTCCAGGACCACAGCCAGCTGGAATGTCTGGTAGGCAGCTCTCCCCTGGTCAGAGAGCTCGGAGCGAGAGTCAGTGGTGTAGAGGGGAAGGTCCATGACTGGAGGAAGTTGGCCGAAATCTCCAAAGAGAAGACAGGAGCATCCTCCAAAGACCTCCTGGGAGTTGTGAGGGAAGGCCTGGCGAAGACGTCTGTCCACCTGGCCGAAGGTCTTCCTCCCCACCATCTACATCTCGTCGATGATCAGGTACCTGACTTGTGAGAAGGCCTGCTGCAGTTTGGTGAGTCTCTCACCCTCCAGGTCCTTGAACTCCCCTCTGGTGGGGAGACTGAGGAGAGAGTGGAGGGTGCGGCAATCAATGTTGAAGGCAGCCACACCAGTTGGAGCTGCAACATGACCGATGCTGAAGGAGAAGTCGGAGACAGTGGATTAGGTAGGACTTCCCTGTGCCCGCTGTGCCAGAGACTATCATCCTGAGGGGCTGAGGACTGTTGTCTGAGTTGTGCTGCTGAACTATTGTGTACACCCGCTGCTGCTTTCCCTGCAGGTTGGCTGGGTCAGCTGTGGTGGTGAAGATGTGTTGTCCAGCTGCCTGTCTCTGCTGAGCTATGAAGGACGGAGCCTCATCGATGTTGGGGTATGACTGTGCAGCAAGGGTCCAGTCAATATCCTCTTGTGTGTCCATGCTGGGCTGCATGTCTGCATTCTGGCGACAGATGGTGGAGTAGTGGTTCGCTGTTCCTCTTGCTCCTATACAAACAAACACACGATGAACTTACAGTTATATTTACATGTAAAAACTGACCTCAGTTTCTTCAGATTCATCTTCATTAGTATGTAGCTAAGTGCTGAAGAAGACGATACATGTCATCCTCCAGGCAGGGAGGGATCTGGCCAGACTGTAGAAATGCAGCATAGGCATTACTGTAACTGTCATACCCAGAGAGTAGGTCGTCCATCTGGCGAAAAGGCTTGTGTTGCATCAGTGAGTGGCGACAGTACTGTTCATACTTCTCCCCAGCAGGATCTGGTGAGACGTACGGTCGAGGGATGACGACAATACGTCTACTCCTGGGAGTCGGCCCAGCCCCGAGGGTCTTGGGCATAGAGTACTGGCGGGCAAACTCCAAGAGGGTCATGGGGTTGAAGTGAGGGAAGTCAGGTCGTCCCATGTAGTGGAGAGTGCTGTAGCATGCTGCCCCTCGTCCAGGTGGTCCTGAACAGCACGAGACCCATCGAGGCTGAGGATGATGAAGTCACGTGATGCCTTGAACATCGTAGCTGCAGTAGTAGGTGGCTGGTCTCCTGGGCGAGTAGTCTCTCTCTCCGACGGTGTTGATGAGGAGCTTCTGGACTGCCTTGAGAGAGGTGTTGCCTTCTCGGAGACCACGGACGATAGTGGTGAAGATCTCCTTGAGTGACTGAGACCGTGGCTCACTCTTGGTGACGTACTTGGTGCAGTACTGCAGGACTCTCTGGCGGGAGACAATGTACTGCATGTCCACGTTAGCTCGCCATGCAGACAGCTGGACTGGGTTGAAGCTGTTGATCATCCCGTCGTTCCTAGCTGTGAGGAGAATTGGTTCATCCTCGGTGACGATGGCAGTGTGAGGCTGCAGGGGCTTGGGGTAGCCAAAGCGGCACTCCTGTTTGCCATGCTTCGTCCTTAGGCAGTAGGAGGCAGAGCAGCGAGTGTGTCTCTGGCAGGTGGCCACCAGATCAGCCAGGTCCTGGTCAAAGTCCTGAATGTCCCCAAATGGCTTGTTGCAGATGTGGGGATCAATCTTTGGAGCTGGTGCATCGGCAATGTTGCTGCCATCTGGGAGGACGGCAGGGTTGGTGGTTGAGACGAGCTGGTCAGCATGCCTGATGATCTCTGCATGGAGTCTATCACTGCCACCATCATGAAGCTGCTCCACATCTGGTGTATCGGGTAACCAGGCTAGACCATGGACGTGAGGGCTGCCTCGGTGCTGCCACTCAAACCTCAGCCAGTAGTCCGTGGCTCCAAGGACTCCAGTGTAGAAGACCTTGACGAACTCCATGACTCTGTGATAGAAGAACCAGTCTGCGAGGGCTGGGTTCTCGATGACTGCCTTGGCCCGGGCAGTCCTGGAGTCAGGGTTGTCGGGGCAGATGAGTCTAGCCAGCTCTGGCCACTGGAGATCTGCTGCACTGTGTGTGAAGAAGACAGTCGGCAGACCCAGTGCGTCGACCATGGAGAGCAGACGACTCCTCTGACGTTGCCAGTACTGCTTGGTGCCACGCAGACTGGAGCCGTAGTGGAGCACTCGACTGGAGAAGGCCTCTCCCTGTCTCCCCACCATGTCCCGCAGCTCGTCCAGGGACAGCTGGCCATCTCCTGGGTGCTGTCTGACGTACACTCGGCCAGTCTGAAGGGCACGGTGTCGCATCTCGGTGTTGAGAGCAAAGAAAACGAAATCGTGGGTGCTTGGCAAAACGACCGTCATCGTACTGCATCAGGTGCTTGAAGTAGTTCCAGATGGGTGGGGAAGCACAAGTGAAGTAGCCCTCAGTGGTGAACTCATTGAGTGGCATTCCACCAATGGATGGCCACATGAGTGGTGTGTGGAAGGAGGAGCTGGACTGACGCTGATCCACTGACTGCTGCACTGCTCTGCTGCGTCATTGAGGGGACAGCAATAGGAACAAATGACTGTTGCAGATGCTCATCATCGTTGGTACATCTATGAAGTTGACCCCTCTCTCTCCTCGGCAGACTCGGCGGCAATTCGCCTTGTCTGATAGCTTCGGATCTGTTGGAGCCTTGCCTGTTGCGTTTCCTCCGATTCCGCAGCCACGTGTAGCCTCTTGCTCGTACACGACTTCTCGCTAGTCGTGCTTTCCCTTTCTTCCGCTGTTTCCGTGACCAGGCGTTGCCTTGCCCGTCCCTATCACGCAGTCGCCGTCGAGAAAGACGAGCCTCTCTTTGCTCAGAAGTCTCACAGGCACGACGTTCTCTTTCCCTCTCCCGTCGACGGCGAAGGCATCTCCTCTAGACCAGAAACTGTGGTTGCTTCCTCGAGTTATACAAGTGGAAAAACAATTTCTTCAAAATGAAGTAGGATACAGGGATGACCTGAAGCACCAAAAGGGACAGAAACAAGGGGTCATTACACACGCAATATGCCAAAGGCACATGACACCATCCCTATAATATCTTTGTCTCATATTAACTTTGCCTATGACCACTAA